TCTCTCTCAAAGTAAATAAATAAGTTTAAAAAGAAAATAAAAGTCATAATTTAACTTGTACCTAATCAGAAGAGAGCTAAAGATTTGCAAATTTCAAGTCTGGTTTCCCTTTATAAAATAGATAATAACTGGCTTTCACGTTATCTCATTGGGAGAGAAATAATTTAGGGAATTTCTTCCAAGGAGCCCTAAGTAAATTATGTGATATAAATTTTTTACTACTGTAAAGAAAAAGGGGGGAGGTGTGTACCTGGGTGGCTCAGTTTGTTGAGCGTCTGACTTCAGCTTGGGTCATAGTCTCGCCATAAGTGAGTTTGAGCCCCACAATCGGGCTTGCTGCTGTCGGCCCAGAGCCTGCTTCAGATCCTCTGTCCCCTTCTCTCTGTCCTTCCCTGCTGGCACTCTCTCTCTCTCTCTCTCTCTCAAAAATAAATAAACAATTAAAAAGAAAGAAAGAAAGAAAAAGGAAAAAGGAATTAAGCCATAAACCAGTAAAAAGAAGTTTGTGTTTTATACTAATTTACAAGACTGATTTATTTTTACTATTTTTTTAAAAAAATTTTTTAACGTTTTTTTTTATTTTTGAGACAGAGAGAGACAGAGCATGAACGGGGGAGGGGCAGAGAGAGAGGGAGACACAGAATCTGAAACAGGCTCCAGGCTCTGAGCCATCAGCCCAGAGCCCGACGCGGGGCTCGAACTCACGGACCGCGAGATCGTGACCTGAGCTGAAGTCGGACGCTTAACCGACTGAGCCACTCAGGCACCCCTATTTTTACTATTTTTGAAAAAACCTTTATTTGAACACCTCTTTTCTTATCTTCCTCCTTCCCCATTTTAATTTTCTGTTTGTTTGGGTTTTCATATTTAGATAAATAGTATTGGTCCTTGCAGGATTATAGGAAAGCCTCAACACATAGATGAAGAAGCATAGGACTTTAGCTTTACTTACTTACCTCTCTGGAGTGCTCAGAAGTAAGAGAAACAGGCTGGTTCTGTGGGGAAAATCTCTTATCCATCTTTACTTTCAAATAACTTAATCAAAAGATCTAATGTTTCACTGCAAACGGTCTTAAAAGTCAAATTAATGTCACCTGCAGAGTTAGCTAAAAAAGTGATGAGTATTGTTTCGCACAGCAGTTCAAACTATTTGCAGAGTCCTACCACAATGGAAGACTTTTCTTGCACTCCCCCAATACTAGAACTGTGTGGTAATTCTGATGACTGTCAGTTCCTGTGGGGTGTTTACACAAAGGTACTTTTAAATGAAGAGTCATTTTTAGAGCAATTAGAAAAGAGGCTAGACAGAATAGCTGGCGCAGGGGCCTGGCAGGTCGGGGTTAAGGTTTATTGACAGGACAGGGTCAGGCCTCTGCTCCGCCACCGTTGCCCCTCATACCTGCCCTCCGGATACAGCCAAGACCTCAGCCAGCCTTGGCTCCCTGCCATAGGCCAAACCCCTTGTGCAGAATGTAGAGAAGGGAAAGAAGAAAGGAGGAAGAGGAGGGGAAGTTCTGCTGAAACATTACAGTTTGGTATTAAAATGCAAGTTTGGAAATATTTGTGTATATTTTTCTGGCCCAGATGTTGTGTCACATTGGGGAGGAGAAATTTTAAAACATACAAAGGATTGTCTGTTCTTTTCAGCTTTGTAGTTTGCAGTTGTTGCCTCCTGAAGAAAGAAATTGCCTGGCCAAAGTAGTCTTTTAATTTCATTTTTCAGTTTTGAGTTACAGGTTCCTGGCAAGCTCCCTGACCACTACTGTTACCTGGTGGCGCCTATATTTCATCAAATTTAGACGCGCAGACTACCTGGATCCAGGCCCAGATGAACTGTTGTGACTGATAAACATGATCCCGCCCTCCCCCATGAGCGCTCCTGCTTTTCCCTTTAAGGGAATCTAAGCCGTTGAGTCCCTGGGTCCCCAAGGGAGCTAAAGAAAAATGTGTTCCGGTATTCCGGTATTTGAGTTCGCTCTGTGGTTTTCTGTGCTGCGTCTCTCCCTGCCCAGAGGCTGGTGAACATCCCAGCAGTGCCCCACTTCTCCAGTGTTGGTAATTAATGCAGGGAAGATTTTTGTTTTTAATAAAAACAAGCAGAGACATCTATCAGTACCCACAGTCAAGGCAGAATTTGTTTGACATCTTATGATTGCTGCTTACAAAAAAGAGTGACAGCAGTTATTAAACAAATAAGAAAAAAGATGCTGTTTACTGGTAGATTTAAGATATCCTAAGAATATTCTTACAGCATTACTGCCTTTGCTTGCATAAGTAGAAAATTGTAGAATGAACAGAATCATTAATTTTTGAAATCTGGGTTGTATTAGATTTAGAATAATAATAAAAATTCAAATATTAAGCAAATATATTATTTTTAGCTGTGCCATATACCAGGGGCTTTTCCTTTCATTAGACCATATTTCAAACATTTGTTTTTATGATTGCAGGGGTAGTATTAGCATTCAATGTAATTAAACTTAATTGCATTTCCTATGTGAATTATTTTTAGTCTCTTTTTCAAATACATTTATGGTCTTTTTTGCTATACTAACTATTCGTGTAGATTTGCCTTGATAAAAGGCTACGGAAAAATTGTCTGTTTGCTTGGAAACAGTCAGAAGTCACAAATTTGATTTTCATTTAATTTAGAAGTTTTGAAGTGAAATTTTGGAATACAGTCGAGTAGGAAAAGCATGAAACCATTCAGGGTCTGAGGTTTTGGTTCTCATGTCATGTTCATGTGATCTAAGAAAAATAATTAATCTCTCTCTGGCCTAAGTTATCCTATCTGGGAAGTGTTATAATAGTTTTAGTCCCTAGCCTAACCAGATGATGTAGAAGCATCAGATCACATGTTTCTACAGGTACTAGATTGGGGGGTGGGGTGGGGCGGGGGTTGCTGGGAAGGAAGGGGAAGGAACTTCTTAGGGTGTTATTAGTAGTCTATATCTTGATAGATATTTGGTTACACAGGGGTATGCATTTGTCAGAATTCATCAAATGATATGCTTAAGATTTGTGTATGTCATAGTATGTAAATTTTACCTCAGAATACAAAAACAAAAGG